ACCGCTACTTTTTTCTCACGTTATTTTACTTTTCTATTTCATTATATTTCACAATTAATACGAAATATCTGACTTGCTTTTTATTTCTCGAATGAAAGCTTTACAGAACTGTCTCGTGCACAAAACTGAATAAAAATGCGCTTTTCGCGTACAATAAATTTAATCTCGCTAATATTGACCGGCGTTTTATAAAAATAACGTAACATTTGTGACAGTTTAACCGTAATAATAATTGCAGATCGGAGCGTATTAATATTGTCATTAATGCAATGCGGGTAATAATTAATAACGTTGTTAATTTGCGTTACAAAGGGGAAAATAGTGAAGCCGTATTACGCAAATACGGCTACGTCAAATTATCTGTAGAATCGATGGACGTTAACGATAAATCACGACTTGTTGGCTCGCATTACAATGGAGAAAACATTAATTTAGCGTTAACGTTTACGTGCCCGTGTCGAGCCCCGTATAAAAGTACCAAACGATAACCATAAATCACACCGATTGTTAATTTGCGTTACAAAGGAAGAGAGAACCGGATCAGCTGTCGGCGGGCATGGAAAGCGACTGGGGAAAGCTTTGATTCCTTGATAGTGAAAAATGCGAATCGACCAAGCACTCCGAATCGAATGCAACGAGCGTAATAGGGCGTGATCTCGTGGCTTCGCGCGAAAAAGCGAACGAGAAAGAGAGAAAGAGAGAGCTATTTTCACGCGTCATAGAGATGGTAATTGAGTCGCGTCGCTCGAAAGATCGAATCGCACCCCTCGATCGACTGAGACACGAAGGAGAGAGATTCGGAGCGACACTATACGTATACGCACATATATACGAGAAGTTAAATCGGCGAAAACGTTCAATGCGAAGACCAGATTCGAAGTAAAATCTCTCTTGTTAAATATTTGAAGACGTTGCGCCAAAAAATACGATCTTTCTCTCTTTCTCTCACCCGACGATGGTTACAAACATATCCCAGCGGCAGAATCTTAGAATCCTAATTATTATCTGAATTATTCTGGAATTAATTTGTAGCCGTTTAAAAAAAATGTTATACGTTTTAAAAATACGCGAGGGCTTTTGAATGTTTTAAACCGCGAGTAATCCGAGAAGAGACGAGTATTCTCTAATATATTGATCCGCGGGACTTACTGCCGGCGAGAATGCTACATCGATCTCTACATCGACAGTTTCCCAAAGACGGCGGTTCCTCGCTCTTCCCATTCCCACTTCCGGTGCTCCAAATGCGCTTCCGATGCCGACGCACGAATGGTATTTCCGCGCGGTGAATCGCGCGGAATCTATTTTCGCGACGGAGTGACATATTCGCGGCTGAGCAGCTCAATGGCGGCGGCAGCCGGCGTGCGAGTGGGAGTAATCCATCATGCGACGTGTAGCGTTCTGCCTCCGCGATATTCCGCGACAAACATAGCAAGAGAGAGAGAGATGCGCGATCTGGGCGCGAGTAAATGCGAAAATTAAAACGAAAGGACATAGCTTCCTAATTTGAATATTTTTCATAAGAAGAGGGAAATTGGAGATTATTTTAAGAATTATTTAAAAAGTTAAAAAGTCTCAAAAAGGATTCTTTCTCGTGCGACAGGATTGAGAATGACTCGAATGATTCGTTCTTGCGAATGGAATCGCGGCCAAGTTAGCGCGCAGTGAATGAAGACGTTTCTGGTCAGACGCCATCAAAAAACAACTACTGCGTGCGTTTGACCTGTTTTCGAATTTACGACAATTTTGCTCATTTCTAATATACATAATATCAATAAATTTTACATTACTTATACGATAAAACGTAGTTATTTCATGGAGAATGTTTATAATCGCGCATCGGAAAATAATGAAATAACGATATAATTTTGCGATAACTCGAAAGTAGAGCGAGTCGATCTGAGTCAGAGATTCGCCCGGAGGTCTTCCAGAACCACGGTCTTCAGGTACGTCACATCCTTGGAAATTCGCCGGTCAGGAAATCGCGAGGGCGAGAAACCACTCCCGCTTTGATGTCACGGCGAACAACGTAAGCTCGCGACACAAAGGCGAAAGTCTCTTCGGGGGAAGAAGGAGGACTCGGTTTCTCGCAACGGAGGAAACACTTTGCGAAGAAGCGTTTTCGCGCAGGAAATGGCCCGAAGATGAGCGTACTCGTCTCGCGATCAGATATGAATTTCGGGGCGCGGGAGTTATCGCGTGAATATTCCATCAGGATATTGTGCGAACGTGTCGCTGTCAACTGGAAACGTTAATTCAGATTATCCTACGGCCTAATTCGGATTTTAACCAATACCATTAATGATTCATATCAGCGAGTAATTACTACTGCAGTTATACGCTGCATTTGAAGCGCTAAACTCTTCATTTGTAACATGCATTAGAATTTGTAACATTGCCCCTCGTAATTGAACTCGCGCAGAGATTTTGACGATCTTTCTTTTTTTTTGATAGATTAAGTAGAGAAAAATTAAAATGTTTCTGGCAATTAAAATTTCTCTTAATAATATAACATTCGAGAAGTTGACGACAAATAATATCGGAGAAACGAGGCAAATAAAAAAAAAACGAGCAACAAGTCGCGTCAAAGGTGAAAACGCCCGAAGTCATTCGCGAAATACGAAGAAACTTCCGATAATGAGATGAGATGAGGTAGCGTTGAATAACGTAATGAGGAAACAAATGCTAATGGTCAGCAGCTTGTTCGCCAATGTGCCGAGAGCGTGTTGCGTTTTAACGATACCCGGAGGCACGCACGGCTATGATAAGACCTGCGCTTACTCCGCCAAGGTTTTACACGCGGAATAAAGATAAGCCGACGCGTCACGACGTGCGTTTTTCTGAAACAATCGCGGTCGTTAAGCCTATTGCGTAATGTACCGTGTATGCAACGATACGGCGAAAACGCGAAACCGTTTTGGAGGATATAAATATTTTAGAGGTTCTACTAAGAACTTTGAATATGTACATATTTTTTGCGATTAATCAGTTTTTTTATTGCCGAGAGAAATCGATTCGCTCGAACAAAACGCGACAAAAATGTAAAATCGAGCGATAAAATCTTTCACGGTCGCACGCGCGATGAAATATAATATCGATACTGTAATTTAATAATACATTCTATTGTAATAAAAATAAAGACTATATCCCTACTTCTTTTTCAATTTACTCCGCATAAATATGCAAAAGTATTTCACGAAGGTTCATGACGCGATAAAGTATTCCGAATACAAAAATACTGAAGGGAAAGAGGAGAGATCACGGCCTGAACCCTTCGCGAGTGAACCTAGGGGAAGATAAAAAATTAAATTCACGCATCGTCGACAAAAATTGCCTCTTTCCCTCTTCAAAATTAACGTGGATTCCCTTGTTTGACGTGCGCGTGTGTCATAACCGATCGTTTCAATCCCCTCGCGACACTTTTCCGTACGTTACGCATTCTCGGGTGACACCCTGGACGACTATATACCAGGTTGACGATATAAAAACACATTTATCACTGTCACCCGCGGGACGTCTCTTATTTCACGGTGAAGACCGCGATCGAAAAGGGGTCGATCTCTCTTTCTCTCTTCCGAGAGAACAGCTTCGCCTCGCGGGACTCGTAATCATTTCTGTATTACGGGGAATTTCGCGTTTTTCGCCATCGAAATCTGCATCTCGTTCGCATCTCAGCTCACGCGACATTTCGACGATTTTCTGCAGAAAATCCAAGCTTCATCTTTTCGTTGCGCAAGATATTTCGCGGAATATTAAAAAAGTATGCTAAGAGAAGATCTTATCCGGACTCGTTCAGAGAAAATCCAAGTCGCGCAATAACCGAAATGGCACTCTTGAAAATGCATAGAAAGAGATGCTAACCCGGGAAAAACGGGTGCCTCATTTTATTTTTTTTCATTCAACGACCGTCTTTGGACGCGAAACGGAAACAGGTATATGTTTCGACCATCCCTTGCGAGTTGTTTCCGTAAAAGTTTAATTAATTAAGCCGCCGTGTTTGATTAATAACAACGCCGCGGAATCTTTCACGAAAATTACGCGAACGCGCGAATGACAAATTCGTCGTGTTATAACGTGTCGGAGAGGAGTACTTAATAAAAGCATCATCGTGACATCAGCAGAATGAATGCATCGGAGCCGCAGTCACGTTACATTGACGTATTAGATCAGCTTAATACGTGTACCGGGGCTATAATATGGAAGCGAATGGAAAATATTAGCATTGGTCGACTGGCTATTGTTTTCAATACGGAAAACATCGACGTCAATATTTATTATCGCGCTGAAATGATTGATTCGCGTGTGATTATGCGTCATGGCGGAATCGCCATTTATATTTAATGCGAGCTAAAGAGAGCCGCACGACTGAATCCATATCACATTTACTAAATTACGAAATGTACCTATATATCGCGCGCAACCGGAACAAGCGAGTCGCAGATCCTATAAAGTATGCATTCTACAATATTTCGCAATAATAATTAATGTCGCGAGTTGCAAGATAATTGCAAGTTAAAAATTTCAAGAATAATCGAAGCACAAATATTAACGGAAATATGTGTGTGTGTATAATAATTACTTATGATTTTTTAATTATATATAATTAGTGTTTATATTATCAATAGAGTAAAATGAGAATGAGCTATAAATTCTCGTTTACATATATAATTTTTCACGGTTTCCGAAAGACATTTCCATTGTGAGACAATAATTAATGCAGAAGGGAAACGAGCTAAATTCGCCGCGGTAATTTTTGTCCTACAAAGAGATTATTAGAGTAGGAGTAAAGTCGGCTGCATATTAAACCGAATGCGCTGCGAGCGGTGGCACACAGGCGGAAGTCGAGATGTATCGCGACGTTAATTAAGACGGATGTGTGCCTGCGAGATATTAGGACCTCTTCCCATATCCTTCACGAGCTACATCGTTCCCGGGGAAGAGCATTTTGGATGATAATGCAAGGATAAAACGACGGTATATATATATTGCTTTATATGGCTTACCATCGTCAGGGACGCGGCCGTCCCGCGCGCGTACTGGAATTCCTGGACACTCACCTGGAAACAAACGAAAAGAGGAGAGGGTTAGTACTTTTGTTCGATCCGTCTAAGTGATCAAAATCAATGCTGTCGAATGTATATAAGAATTGAAAAATAGAGGCACCAATTGCGTCAACGTCTAATTAATATTGTGATAATATAATTGAAACGCAATCCACGTGTGATCAATTTTGCGCGCTAAAATAGTGCGTTTGATATTATTACATACACAGCTTAGAGTCTTTACAATACTGTCACTTCAATCGTTTGCATTGAGCGAGCAATTTCGGGCTGATATTGTATATAGTCGAGTCATAACGATATTTACCAAAGGTAGATTCTAGAGCAGTGGTGCCATTTACTTAGCTTCCTTTATTTGCAACGTTAAACTCTACCCTTTCTCCGCTTTATCGATCCGCAATTTCGCTCTGTCGAAATTATGCGACGCGTCGAAACGGCACGTGCGATTTTGCGGACAAATTCGCCATCGCTGATCGACAATAACATTCCCGCTAGACTTGATTAATGACAGTTATCGAGTTATATAGTTCTGATCACTTCACAGCGATATTGTAGCTTCGTCCTATACGCGGAGACGCGATGCTGCGGAAACAAAGCGGCACCACGACGGCACAGATCCAATTACGTTTGACGTTTGAAGAATTATTGAGAGCGTGAACTAAGTGTGGAAAATTTTTATCCTCCACGGGACTATCGTCGATTTTCGCTCTCAGCTACAATCGAGAGCATCTCTGTTACAGGCCCGTTACAGAAATCTTTATTAGAGCAAAGCGCGGTTTCTCCCTAGCCACAAATTAATTTGTAGGGGGCTAAAAGCGCAGACTCGGAGCAAATATCGACGATGCGATGCACCCGGCGAGATATCTCGATCGTGCCATCTGGCACACACGTTCTGAGTTCACGAGATATCTCGGTCGCGCCACCTAATAGCCAGATTAACACGTCGACAAGCGAACCTATCGACCGAATCACACGTATGGCGTCGAATCTACGGTTCGCTCGAATGGCATCCTAATGGACAGCCTAATTTCCCCGTTTACCGATGAAAATTCCCGTCCCGTTGCGTCATCGTCTCGTTCGAGAGTTCTTATGTATTTCTGCGTCACGTCATTTCAGTCGGTCGCGCCAACATTCTTCACTGACACGTTTATCTCGTGTTCGCGAGAAGATAAGTGGAACATCGTAAAGTCCTTTCCTTCTCTTTTTTTTAATAATATTCGTGTAATTATTAAAGTTTCTTTTTTTTCACAGGCGTTGCGTGGCGCAACGGTGTGTATTAAAAACAAGTTTACAAGCTTGCGTATATAAAGATAAAACTGCACGGGAATTTCAAAAACTAATAAAAGAGCGAAACCTCGCGAATATCGTAAAGAATGATAAATGCGGTAACGAAATAAAAAAGAAGGAAGAAGAAAATGAAGGAGGCGCGCCGGATGGAAAGAAATCCCGCTGGACTCGGGTATGTTTACGTAAATATCGGATCGATAGCCACGGTTTTACCGGCTCTCGACACGCAACTTTGACGATCGGCCGCTTTTTTTTCCTTCTTCCACGCTTCCAAAGGCGCGAATCGATATAAAAGGCGACGAAAGTATTCGGAACGCACAGCGCGCAAAACGAGACGGGAATTTTTAATTACACGCGTCGCGTGTCGACCGATATCGCCGATCGATACCACCTTGTTCGTTGACGTTCGTTAACGCTAATCTCTCGATTGACACGAGATTCTTTCTCCACGCTTCTGGGCGTGTCTAGAATAATCTAGAAATAATTAACGTGCGTGTTGTGCGAGATAATTTTCGAAAGAGGAGGGAAAGGAAGCTTAGACCATCTTGGACGCGCAACTTTGCAAAAAAATATTCTCTCCTAGAATCAACGTCCTATTAAATTCTAGTCAACTTTTTTTTCTGAACGAAATTCGATATTCGATCCTTCCGAACGTTTGAAGGTAAAGACCTGTCAGATGACGAAAGAGGAAAGAGCAATTTGTCTTGTTGTATTAGCAAATGGATGATAATGATGGAAAAAGGGACGTCGATGGAATCGACGAAAGCGTCCCGTCGATGTTTACGCGTATTTACGAGCAATCGAGCATGGACACACGCGTGAGTGATCCACACGTACACGAGGGTGTGTGCGTGTTGCGTGAATGTCTTTGTAGGATCAAGCTCGTCCGCTTGCGTCGATGCGTAGATAAACACGTGATGCGTGTATTACGCGAAACTACTACCTCGTATTGCCGATAATAGTTACGTCGAGTCGTTGCTAGTAGCGACACAAATACCATATACCTATATATTCGTGAAAGTATAACTATATAATCCCTACGTAAATCGAAGATAAATTAAGACGTTTCGGATAATTGAGCTGTAAACGGTTGCAAACGCAGATAACAAATTCTTATTCTTCCGTTAAGACTGCCTTTCATCCGAGTCGTTTCCAACTCGTGTAATTCCAAACGGACTTTAACAGAGTATTTTAATTTCCGACAGATTCGAAGAGAGAGTTATTTAATGCTGAAAATTGGAAAGTTGCCGTCGTATCTTCTCGCGCGGAAATTACGAGAATTCCGCGGCGTCCGGCTCGAGGCAACCCCCGTATTTATACGCGCAAAGGTGGCAGAGGGAGAGTTGTTAATGCGTGTTTCCGTCGAGTGTGCCCGTTCGCGGGAGGATGTGTACATAGTTACGGACGCCTTGTGATACTAATTGATGTCGGTGAACGGACAGAGAGCTGTGACGGACCGGATCAGCTGGATGGAAGAGCGGACTCTTCCGCCTCGCAAAAGCTCTTTCGACCCTTCCCTCTTTCTCCCCCTCTTTCGCCCACGAAGGAAACTCGCCCGGACTATGCTCGACAATGGACACGAGGAAGAATGTCGGCGCATGCCGTGGCAACAATGCGCGAACAATGCCGCGTAACGACTCGGCGCTTTCGCGAGGGCGCAAATTGACGTCACGCGAAAGACGACGTCGACTCGATGCAAACTTGTTTCGCGTTTAGGTACGACTATTCTCGCAGTCGTCGGCTTGATAAGCGATTCACGTCGAGCTTCTCTCGAGATACCAGTGTTCGACGGTTTAAAAAATTTTGTCTATACGCATTTTTATTTAAGGTGTGAAAGAAAATGTTGCCACTACTTGACTTGTGAAAGGAGATTTCGACGCTTTTAGGAATATATTGTGAAAAGCACGAGCTCAAAAAATGCTGATAATTGTTGCGAAATGTTTTATTATAACGAACAACGTTAAATATAATTTTGCGAAGAATGTCAAGAGTAGTTTTGTACGATATTTATATGATCATTTTCGTACATGCGAAAGAACTGGAATTCATCTGCGTATTTAGATATCTCTTCTTTACTTATTCATAAGATAGTATTTTCATTTCATTTCAAGAGAGTTACACATTTTCAAAAAATATATTATTTCAACATTATTCAAAATTTCCCAGTTTCTCTCACGCGAGTGCCCAGATCTCTTAACGTAATAAAAGATGAGAGCAGTTTACTTTCACGAGAACTGGGTAAACTTCTAATTGTATATTTTATTGATCTTTTTTTTTTCTTTATTTCACATTTCAAAAATATTCATATTTTGTAAAATATAAAAAAAATATTAGCTACTTAATCCGAATTGTTATTTTTGTTTTCACAAGTACATGGATTAAAAGTATTTTTCTTTGAAATTCAAAACAGAATATAATTGCTGAAATGTCGAATAACAGAACGATTCTAATATAATTTCAAATATCAAGCAATTTGTGGAGGTTCTGAATTAGCGAAATATTATTTGCGCGGGTAATTTTGTAATTACGCAATATATTCTTCGCCGTTCAATCTTTCGCAGACTCTTACGAAGCCAATCGGTGGAAAACGAGCAGGAATTAAGTATCGAGTCCCGATTGGACCGCCTTTGCGGCTTCGAATTTCCCATTTCCGACTTCGCCTCTCACGCGAAACCAATGTGGCGCGCGGAAAAAGAGGCAGCCAGAGAGACCAGGGAACACCATTCAGCGGACCGCACGAAGAGACACGTGTATAGGGAACACAATGGACAGGTAATAGCCGGGAATGAGGGATCGATAAGAGTTGACTTACAAGGGCGGCCGTAAGGCGATTGCGCGAGGGAAATATAATTTTCCGATCTGTCGCCGATCGGAAGTTAGATGCGGCCACGCGAATTACGTATCGTACAGAACGGTATGAAAGGAGAGTAATTCTACTTACACGACTACGTCGTGCAGGCAGTCCTTACAGTGCCAAGTTATCTGCGAGGCATTAAGGTGCGCGCACGCTCGCGCGTGGAAAGGATGGTGGAAGAAACGACGGAGAGAAAAAGGATCAGAGCAAGGAGCGAGAGGACGGAAGTCGCTCCGGCAGCTAGATGGGTTTCCAGGATCGACCTTCCACTCCAGTAATGAGAAAATCACAAAAGACGTGTCACTTCAATGGGTCTCCGGTATCCGTCATGTCTCTCTCTCTCTCTCTCTCTTTCTTACTCTCTTGAATCTTTTCGTTCGATTACCAACGACAACCAACTAAGGCCAATGGCCTAAATCCTGTGTTCGGAAGCTTATTATCGAATTTATTTTCGAAGGAGAGAAAGAAAATCTCAAACGCATAATACGCATTATCGCGAATACATTTCCCGATTGATTAATCAGATGGACTTTTCGTTACTGTAGAATTTTTCTTTGCTAAATTAATATAGTTAGAAAAATATAAGCGCACTCTCTTGAAATAAGCCAAGTTCGATTCGCCATTGTGGTACAACATCCTTTGAAAGAGATTTTGGAAATTTATTATACGATTGTGGGTCGCGTTTTTTCTTCTTTCTTGTTCTTGCTGCGACGCAATTTCCTAAAACGAGTTTCCTCGCTCGCTCTTATTTGCAGTTGTTGAAATCGCCGATGGCGTTTAACAAAATTTTTACTCTCGAAAGAACCCGGGGGTGTAATCCGCGTTCTCTCGCCGGTTAATAATAGCCGGCCTAAAA